TTACAACATCTGACAACCTGTGCCCTTACCTCCAGCGTCTGACACACTCTGCCCTTACTTACAACATCTGACAACCTGTGCTCTTACCTCCAGCTTCTGACACACTCTGCCCTTACTTACAACATCTGACAACCTGTGCCCTTAATTACCTCCAGCGTCTGACATACTCTGCCCTTACTTACTTACCTCTAGCGTCTGATACACTCTGCCCTTATTTACAACATCTGACAACCTGTGCCCTTACCTCCAGCGTCTGACACACTCTGCCCTTACTTACAACATCTGACAACCTGTGCTCTTACCTCCAGCTTCTGACACACTCTGCCCTTACTTACAACATCTGACAACCTGTGCCCTTAATTACCTCCAGCGTCTGACATACTCTGCCCTTACTTACTTACCTCTAGCGTCTGATACACTCTGCCCTTATTTACAACATCTGACAACCTGTGCCCTTACCTCCAGCGTCTGACACACTCTGCCCTTACTTACAACATTTGACAACCTGTGCCCTTACCTCCAGCGTCTGACACACTCTGGTGAGCCCCCTCTGGTGTGCTGTTGGCAGCTGGAAGCTGTGCTGGTGTAGTTTGTGAGTTAGGTGTGGGCGACGGTTCCTGAGGCTGCTGATGACTGCCACTAGATGGTGCTTGCTCTCCTCGTGTGTTTGTCAGAAACGGCACAAGTGAATGCCAGGGAAACACTGGAACAGGCTTCTTCGATTCAGTTTCTAAACATAAAAAAGTTTTGACACCTGATTTAGTACCTTACCTTTAAATTCTTTTTTCCTTCGATTATATAATTTTAGACAAACCTCATAAAGTCTGAAACAAACGAGATTGTGGATTTATATCACACCAACTGAATCACTGTGGGACAGATCTGAATGATGCTAATAAAAGTGCCTTCTTCCACAGAGAACGGGGAACTGAAATAACTAACCAGGCATCAAGCTGATCACCGATTTTGGACTCATCCCCCCTAAAAGTATGAACAAAGTGAAAAAAATAAAAAGCTGTTATAGATATATTTACAATGAAAATGTTCATTAACCTGTTTTATTAAGTATCAAAGTATTATTAAGTTAAGTATTATGTCAATATCTTGTTTGATTATTAATAAACAAGAGAAAAACAACAAAAATCCATTTTCACCAGCTCTTGATCCACTTGTTTTAGGAAACCTGCTGGTTTTCCCATTTTCTCAAAGAGTGATTGTAGCTGATTCAAATATCTCTGGGTATAGCTTATAATGATAAAGCAGAGGTTTCCCAGCTGGTGATCGATTGTTAACCAAGGCAAGTTAACTTCATGATACAGTAGGTACCACTTGCAACCTATGGCTCTTTAATCAGTACAATACAATCATTTTTACGTCAAAATGAATCGCATGTTGTGTGCACCTGACAATGCTTGAAATATTGAAATCTTTCATAAGACGGATGTACTTGTCACTAGCTCACTCATATTTTATGAAGTGTCAGTCACTGAAGATCTGTATGTACAAGGATTCTTACAATACAAGGAGGATTTATTAACTGGTTCACCAATCATATGAGTTGCCATTCACATGCAGTGCAGATTTTGAAATGAAAACAAGTGACAGGATGACAAAATCAATTTTTTTATTATCTGATCCCGTTCCACTTATAACATCCCCACATATCGGTATTGATTGTAGTGATATTTGATCCCGTTCCAGTTATAACACCCCCACATATCAGTATTGATTGTAGTGATATCTGATCCCTTTCCACTAATAACACCCCCACATATCATTATTGATTGTAGTGATATTTGCCACCCATACATGATGCTTGCCAGTACTACTACTAAACATACCTTAGACAAAGAAACCGAGGAATCTCGTGGACAAGATCACTTAGTAAACAATCTCGCATTGATGGTTATCATGTTTATCCTACTTGAATTTGGTATATTTGAAATTCTTAAGATACAAATTAAACTGCACAGGGTTATCACTGTGGCCTTAAACCATACAGGGTTATCACTGTGGCCTTAAACCATACCGGGTTATCACTGTGACCTTAAACCATACAGGGTTATCACTGTGGCCTTAAACCATACAGAGTTATCACTGTGGCCTTAAACCACACAGGGTTATCACTATGGCCTTAAACCATACAGGGTTATCACTGTGGCCTTAAACCACACAGGGTTATCACTGTGGCCTTAAACCACACAGGGTTATCACTGTGGCCTTAAACCATACAGAGTTATCACTGTGGCCTTAAACCATACAGAGTTATCACTGTAGCCTTAAACCATACCGGGTTATCACTGTGGCCTTAAACGATACAGGGTTATCACTGTGGCCTTAAACCATACAGAGTTATCACTTAAGCTAAATTTGCACACAAGTTAAACCATACAGAGTTATCACTGTCGCCTTAAACCATACCGGGTTATCACTGTGACCTTAAACCACACAGGGTTATCACCATGACCTAAAACCATACAGGGTTATCTCCGTGGCCTTAAACTGTACAGGGTTATCACTGTGGCCTTAACCCATACAGAGTTATCACTGTGGCCTTAAACCACACAGGGTTATCACCATGACCTAAAACCATACAGGGTTATCACCGTGGCCTTAAACTGTACAGCGTTATCACTGTGGCCTTAAACCATACAGGGTTATCACTGTGGCCTTAAACCATACAGGGTTATCACTGTGGCCTTAAACCATACAGGGTTATCACTGTGGCCTTAAACCATACAGGGTTATCACTGTGGCCTTAAACCATACAGGGTTATCACTGTGGCCTTAAACCATACAGGGTTATCACTGTGGCCTTAAACCATACAGGGTTATCACTGTGGCCTTAAACCATACAGGGTTATCACTGTGGCCTTAAACCATACAGGGTTATCACTGTGGCCTTAAACCATACAGGGTTATCACTGTGGCCTTAAACCATACAGGGTTATCACTGTGGCCTTAAACCATACAGGGTTATCACTGTGGCCTTAAACCATACAGGGTTATCACTGTGGCCTTAAACCATACAGGGTTATCACTGTGGCCTTAAACCATACAGGGTTATCACTGTGGCCTTAAACCATACAGGGTTATCACTGTGGCCTTAAACCATACAGGGTTATCACTGTGGCCTTAAACCATACAGGGTTATCACTGTGGCCTTAAACCATACAGGGTTATCACTGTGGCCTTAAACCATACAGGGTTATCACTGTGGCCTTAAACCATACAGGGTTATCACTGTGGCCTTAAACCATACAGGGTTATCACTGTGGCCTTAAACCATACAGGGTTATCACTGTGGCCTTAAACCATACAGGGTTATCACTGTGGCCTTAAACCATACAGGGTTATCACTGTGGCCTTAAACCATACAGAGTTATCACTGTGGCCTTAAACCATACAGAGTTATCACTGTGGCCTTAAACCATACAGAGTTATCACTGTGGCCTTAAACCATACAGGGTTATCACTGTGGCCTTAAACCATACAGAGTTATCACTGTGGCCTTAAACCATACAGAGTTATCACTGTGGCTTTAAACCATACAGAGTTATCACTGTGGCCTTAAACCATACAGAGTTATCACTGTGGCCTTAAACCATACAGGGTTATCACTGTGGCCTTAAACCATACAGAGTTATCACTTAAGCTAAATTTGCACACAAGTTCAGAACTGTGAAACATATGTACATGTATACATGTTACAGTAAAAATCAAGATACTGTCAGCATTTCCCTGGAGTGAAAATTCACAATAGTGACAAGTATGTGTATGCTTTAGGTAAAGGTAAGTAAGCTATAAGCCTTACCTGTGGTTGTGACTGTCTGCGCCAGTCTCGTGACCTCTCCCACTGGCATTATGGGTAAGAGGGATGCTGCTCCAATAACACTGGCTGTACCAGTTACCTGGGAAACATGCTGCAACTGTTGCTGTATCACCGATGTCATCTGGTTCTTCAGAATGTTTGTTTGTGGTGTTCCCATCTCCTGTACTTGGTAAGACACAGGTGCTACTGACATCTGTCGTGGGTTGCTATTGATCAACGATTTTAGTGTTGCCATGGTCGCCGACTGTTGAACAACAGTTGTAGCCATGGTGACAGAATTGAGAGAAACTCTGGGCTCAACAATGTTCTCCGACAAGCTGTGGTGAGAAGGGAGAGCACTGACCGAGTGACTTTGCACCAATCTACGATTTTGTAAGTCTGGGTTATAATGTGTGATGGATGACACACTGCCAGCCTCTCTCACGATCCCCGTTAAACCTCGTTTTGGGGACAACATGCCCGCCATGTATGGCATCTGAATCTGTGACGTTTTTGATGATTGAGTCTGTATCTCTATGCCTGAATCATCACACTTTTTTGAGTCCTGTTTAACCATCTGAACTGCAGACATTTTCTGAAGGAAGTGTTCATTCACATGACTCGGAGAATGAAACATTGGAATAGAACTGGAATTTGACGGAAATCTTGGAGTTATTGGAGAGACATGTTCCGAGGATGAGCTGCCTGATTTGGACGCACAGGAACTCCAACTACGGGTCGGAGAGGTTATAAATGCCTGTGTTTGAGGATGTGGAGAAATCGGCGTAAACGAGACAGAATTCCTGGAGCCATGACCACTTGTAGGAGACTGCACACTTAACTGTGGAGATAAGGGGTTCTGGGAAGGTGTCGGTGAAAATGCAGGCGTAGTTGAACGTGAATTACCAAGGGACACCAACATGTTTGCTGCCTCAGTTTCATCAAATCGGTTGTGTACATGTCCGTGTTCTGGGTCATACTCCCCTTCTCCGCGACCGTCACTCCAGTCTATCTGTCCTTCCTTCAGTTCCCCTGTACGACAACCGGGAAATGGAGGAGCATTCCGCATATTTTTCTGTCCTTTCATAGACAGATGCCTTGAGCAGAAACCACGTCTTTGAGATTCCTTTGTACATCCTTCTTTGGAACATAATCGCCTCCACTGCTTTCCATTGAATTTTTTACGTATTCCATTCGGCGTAGAAACAACATCCCCTTTTTTGTACTTTGTGGTCAACGGTGACCTGGGAGTGCTTGACCGACTCCCACTCTCACATGACTGAGCACTGCGACTTCTAGCCGAGTCACGTTTCTTTGGAGGCTGATTTTTTCGATCACCTTGTGACCTTGACCCTGAGCCTGGTGTTGCACTTCCGGATCTTGGAGTACTAAGTCCTGATGAATCAAAGCAAAATTCTTCACTTTGAATATCATCATCAGAAGAATCCCCGCGTTCGTTACTTGTGCTCTGAGGAAGTGATGGTGAGCGTATGAGGCGGCTCAAAGGAGGGCTTACTTCCATCGAAGGAGGGATAGGTTGGTGAGGAGGATGCTGTCCATGCTGATGTGCCTGCATCTGCAACTGAAAACTAGATTGTATCATAGGAGGGGGAGGGGGCGTCTCCTGTTCAGGGATTCCCTCTTCAAACTCCTCATGCCACGGAGGATGTAAAAGTCTTAGCACTGCCCGTGACACCCATTCATATTTTTCTTCTGGTAGACCATGAATTCTTACACGATAGCTGATTGGCTGAGACTTCTTGTCCACTACTTGTCCCTCATAGTAATAGTTAACCTCTGGATTGATGCGAACACAAACACGAGAACCAACAGCTACCATGACAGCCATTGGACTATGGTCACTGATAATGTCATGGTTATTTTTCTGTTCAAGCACATCATTAAAGTAAACCATGTTTTTATCACTGTCAAACAAAATCCCTATGTGGCGGTTATGTTTAATATCACGGATCTCCCCTGGTTGGTACAGACCATCCCGACGAGCAAGCACCCGCTGATTAATCCAATTAATCAAGTCAATCATAGGTCTCTTGGCTGGTGGACCAAGTGGAGACGATTCACTCTCAAACTCGTTCCCTTTCCGTTTTTTAGGAGGAATAGCTCTTGATCTTTTTTCATCTTCTGTTGGTGTGCACACAACTTGGGTCCGTTCAGTCTGGTAACGCTCTGCAGAGCCTCTGTCAGTCTGGTAACGCTCTGCAGAGCCCCTGTCAGTCTGGTAACGCTCTGCAGAGCCTCTCTCCATGACGTGTTCACTTATGGGTGTACTACGCTCAGAGGTAGGTTGCTGAAATACAGGGCTCTCTCGAAGATGAGGAGGTGGTAACTGCACTGATGACACAGGGGGAGGTAGCTGCATGGATGTTACAGGAGGATGCAACTGTGTGGTAATTCCAGGGGGAGGTAATTGTGTAGAAGATACAGGGGGGGATAACTGTGTAGAAGCCAAAGGGGGAGGCAACTGTGTGGAAGTTACAGGGGGAGGTAACTGTGAGGTTGTAACAGGAGGAGGTAACTGTGGTATGACTGAAGGAGTTGTGATGACAGCTGAGGGACTGTTGTCTTTTGCCACTAAGGGAGGAGTTTTATCTTTTTCTGTGGAACCTTTTCTGTTTCTGCCATTACGACCTGAAAAAAGCAACCCAAAGACAGAAATTAATTTTGTACATAATGGAAATCTATTTTAAATTATTGCTTCCAAATACAGCTGAAATTTTGGACAAAAGTAATATTTGACTCTATCAAAACCAACCTCGATTGCTGGTGATGGATTTCTTCCCATCCTGGCCATTTTTGTTCCCAGATTTCTTTGTTCCTGTGGTGACAGCTGCCTCGGATACCTCGGAGTCTCCTGTAGCTTCTTCCTTTGCTTTAACTACCTCTGGAGGAGTTTGCTCGGATGTAGCGGCAGCTCTTCGCTTAGATTTGCTTCCTACAACGATCATGACATTTTGTAGGCAGTGAAATACTGAGTTAATTACTGAGCAGCAATGCTAAAACTTAATAACATACTCACCAGTGGCAGTGACATTGAGATTTGTAAACAGAGTGTGTGTTTGTGTACCCTACATAGCGAGGTACAAAACCTGATTACATAGTAACAAAGTGAGGTACAAAACCTGATTACATAGTAACAAAGTGAGGTACAAAACCTGATTACATAGTAACAAAGTGAGGTACAAAACCTAATTACATAGTAACAAAATGAGGTACAAAACCTGATTACATAGTAACAAAGTGAGGTACAAAACCTGATTACATAGTAACAAAGTGAGGTACAAAACCTGATTACATAGTAACATAGTGAGGTACAAAACCTGATTACATAGTAACAAAGTGAGGTACAAAACCTGATAACATAGTAACAAAGTTGAGGTACAAAACCTGATTACATAGTAACAAAGTGAGGTACAAAACCTGATTACATAGTAACAAAGTGAGGTACAAAACCTGATTACATAGTAACATAGTGAGGTACAAAACATAATTACATAGTAACAAAGTGAGGTACGAAACCTAATTACATAGTAACAAAGTGAGGTACAAAACATAATTACATAGTAACAAAGTGAGGTAGTTTAGATATTTTTTTTAATTTTGATACATGTTATATAACAGGGGTTATTCATTGTACAAAAATATCACCTATGGCCATCGTATGCTACTGTACACTGCTACCTCAGACAGCTACTGTAGACTTGCTCAAGTTCATATCTGATACATTGCAATTCAATTGTATAGCCTAATTTTCATTGACTATTAGCTCTGCACTTTTTTCATTAATTTTAAGAAAATATGAATGAACAGATTTAGTGAAACACATTAATTTAGACAGCCTTCACATAAGCATACCCCCCTCCCTCCAGCTCATTAACCTACCATCCCCTCCATTTCTCACCTGTCCAGAATGAAAATGGTCCCTCTCTTATAATAAATCTCATATCGTCATTGACCTCACCTTGCTAGTAAATTATCGTTACTATACAATTGTTGTTTTTTAATATATTCATTTAATTTCAAACTAAATTCGTTATCAAGGTGCGAAAAAATTGTTATGATAATTCATCTATTTCAGTTTAACTTTTAATTAAAAGTCCTCATTTTATATGCTACTTGAGGGGGATAAAATTAACTCACCAGTGGCCTTAGTTGTTGTCGGAGGGGGAGAGTTGTTTGACCGACCACGTTTCAACCTTGATTCTCCTCTTCTACTACTCATGGTGAACTTTTACCATCTGTAACACAGGAACAATGAGGGTTATATACATCCCAATGGTAAGGTAGGTGTCTTCACCAAATTATTATACAAGCTTCAACTAAAAGGAGATTTAGTCAGTAGATAAATCAGTCTCTTCCCAAATCTGACATAACAAATCTGATCATTCTTTATTCAATCGTCTGGTTTGGTTCAGCATTGTTTATAGTCCTATCAACAGCTGTGGTCATTTAAGGACGCTTGAAACTTGACTACATGAACAATCTTGAAATACACATGTACATCCTTGTAGTAATAAGAGGTCCAGACAGCTTGTCATTACACACCTATATAAAAGCAACCACTGTACATGTTACCGATAAAATCCCAGGGATAGGGCCATTCATTATAGGATCAATTCTTACAGTATGCATATTTGATTAAGTTCCTCTCTTTGTGCCCAGCATCTAGATATTAACCAGAAGCTGGGGGGGNTATATAGTAATTTGATCTCTTCATGCCCAGCGATTAAGTTATGGGTTAGGGATCTCAACCTTTTCAAAATTATGATCCAAGAACTTACAAGAGGCCCAGAGGGCCTGTATCGCTCACCTGGATATTTAAGCAATTGTGGGAAAATGCTCTCAATTGAAGGAATTTTGCAAATATTTCAACAAATTGAGTAGTATCTCCAGCTTAAGAATGTTATAGACTGAATTATTGAGATCACTTCATCTGTATTGAAGGAGGAATTGGAAGATTGTTCTCTGGTAACTTCTATTGACCCCATCCTGCTGCACTTTGACAGCCAAACCCTCTGTTTATTCATTGGGTCCTCTTTGTCCAAGGCCATTTCATGCAATGTACTAAATTTGGTCAAGTAGGTTAAGGTCATTTCTTTAATGGCACTCTTTAAATTTAAGCTTCATTTTTAGGAAGGAGCTGCTTATGTAATGTTTTTACATAATGATGCGCGAGACCCTGAAAGTAGGGCCAGGTCATTTATTTGAAGAAAGTTTATAGTTTGGTTTGGTTTTATATTGTTTAAATTCCTATTAACACCTATGGTCATTTAAGGATGTGCCTCCATGTGTATTGTGTATGCATTCATGCATGCATGTGTGTATGTGTGTTGGAGCCAGGGTATGTTGGTGTATTTGCCTCCTTGAAATAGCACGGATCTTATGCCGCCTTTATAGTGCCATCTCACTAAAATACCATGCTGAAGGCACCCAGCATAGCATTCGCTCGGTCACATTATAACATTATACTGACAACGGGCCGGGTCAACCAGTTGTTGCCATTACCCTATATGCTGAACGTTTTAAGCAAAAAATCGCAAATACCATTTTAATAATAAATAATAATATACAACATTTGATATAGCACCCAATAATCTAGCTAACATAAGCCACTCTAAAGCGCCTAACAGTACATAGATATATATATGCAATTGATACAATTAGCATATACATTTATCAATACAATTTTTGAGGAATTCGCAGGAGTTGCCTTTTCAGTCCAATGCCACCTGGCTAATATCTCCCTATGTGTGTATGCCTGCGTGACATGTGTGCTGGAGATGTGATGTGTTTTGTGCTTGGTGAATGTTCAACATTAAAGCCAAAAGTGAGGTTTTGCCAAGCAAGGTGCTAGGAAATTAAAGGTAGTTAGAAGTAGGAAGAGATAAAGGGCACCACACCAAATCCCCAATTCTGCAGGGGTGTCCCACATGAGTAGCCATGCAGTCGGTAACATCAGGGGTGGAAAAGCACCACATCACAGCATGCTACTGGCCAAATATCATCACCATATGTGTCTTAGTTATTCAGAAGAAGTCATTGAAAGGTTATACCATATTTGACCCCTGTGTGACCTTCAACATATGTCAAGGTCATCCATTTGAGGACATTTCGAAGCACTATATCCAATAGTCCAAATTATTCTGACGTTTTATTGACTTTTTTCATATCGGTCTGTCGTCGATTAAAGTCAGAACTCCGGCCCTCTATAATATGCTAATCTATAATTGATACCACCTAGTGCATAAAGAATAGATATTTCGATCTATGTGCGACATGTGTGTGAAAGTGACGATTTGTTTCCAAAATAACAGTTTGAAGTGCGCTCGGCGCATATTTCCCGCATATTATAGAGGGCCGGAGTTCTGACGTCAATCGACTACAGACCGATATGAAAAAAGTCAATATAACGTCAAAATAATTCGGAATATACATCCAAGGTACTAAACGACTGGCTAAATGCCATCACCCTTGGCCTCTTAGTTATTCAGAAGAATTTTTTTAAAGATTTTTATACATTTGACCAGTGGCCTTGAAAGTAGGTCAAGGTTATTTACTGTAGAAAGATTTATAATAGCACTCTGTCCCAGGTACTTACTGACCAAATATCATTACTCAAGGTCTACTGGCATGGTTATTCAGAAAATGTTGTTTAAAGGTTTTTAACACATTGGGCCTTGAAAGTAGGTCAAGGTCATTTAATTGAGGACACTTTACAGCACTCCATGTCAGGTACCTACTGATGAAGTATCAATCACTGTTGGCCCCCTGGATATTCAGATGAGAGTTATTTAAAGGTTTTTACATTCACCCTTGTGACCTTGAAAGTAAGTGAAGGTTATTTATTTGAGAAAACTCTATAGCACTCAGGTATTCAGATACCCAGGTATCTACTGGCCAAATATCGTGACTCTAGGTCCTCAAGTTCTTTAGAAGAAGTTGTTTAAATAAAATTTGCCGGATGATGGATAGACAACAGACAACACACAATACCACAAGCTCACAGGCACTTGCATTGGTGCTAGGTGAGATATACATGTAGGGGTCGGGTTAGATACAAGGGCCATCCTAGTAGCATGTGTGTATTTCTCTCTTTAAACTCAGCACTAGTACACCTGGCTAAGTGTTTGGGAATTCAACTCTTTCAAAACCTGTTATAACCTGTCTGTGTAATCAGGTTTTGTCTGCTCTTGGTACAACTTCAACTTGTACACTTTTGAATTCCCATCACCTGATCCAGGATGTTTCCAACCCAATATGGTTGATATCAATATATTAATTCAAAAGAATAAGTGACTCAAAGCAATATGACCAAATAACCCCTTTCAGCCCGTCAGCTCTGTGGAAAGGGGGTAGGCGATGTGGATCCATTTGTTCAATTCTGAGTTTCATTACACTTGTATTAAAATACATAAAGAACACAAGAGTTAAGATGACCAGGTTTATATGCCACCGTTGCGGTCATCTGCTTTTGTCACTGAAACTCTGGTGTAGTACCTCTTTCTCTATAGAGTCAGGTTTAGTATCAAAACCGTCTCCTCTGCCCCAGAATGTATCAAAATAATTTCTCGTCATCAGAAGCTACGTTATCGCAGCCAGAGTCAGATAGCGTGAATAAGATAGAAACAAGTAGTTTTTCCGTCATGTGATCAATATAATCCAATCAAACACGTTATTGTACAGATAAGGTATAATACTAGAGTTTTGGAACCACTACCAAGTAGCTCCGTCAAATTGTGAATGAGATCAGGCCTGATAACAAAGTAATTACCACAACTAGGACTCGGTGTGCACATGTTAACTGTATGTAATTATGTCAGCAAGGACGGGCAAAGGAAATCATTGATGATCATCTGTTACAGGAAAATGCAAAGTAAAGAAAATAAACAAAAATAACTACAATATTTTCCTTCGGATCTAACTGTATTTATTGTGGTCAAAATGGTCCAGGGAAAAAGTTAAAGAATTATAGATGACGTTTAAATCGTATTGTGCAATGCACAACATTTAGTATTGACTCAAATTGAGAATAACTGAGGTATCAGCTGGACCCTAGTACTGTAGCAAATGTTTATACCATTAAACATATAGAAAATCAATTATCTTTGTTTTGTATTTAGACCTTTTGTTGCCCCAAGGCAAATACCATTCTGACAACACATTTCCATCATCATTTCCATATGTTGAACATTAGATTAAATTATCTATCGGTGGACTAGGAGCTTGATTCACCTGAAAGAGTTTGAAGTCACAACTTAAATTTAAGACGGTATATATGACTATTTAGATAAAGTAGCCGACTCGGACATGGAAGAGGATTTTGAGTAGTTTATTGAACATAACACCTCATATAGATAGACTATAGGTTTATCTTTTACAGCTCGTCCATAGACACAACATTAATTAGTTAAATAGTACAGGAATCTAGCTATTATTGATGTTAAATGCAAATTTTCACAATCATATATAACGGTTATATATATATATAAAGCATCTGAAATATATGAAATGTTAATATTTAAAGATAAATTACACTTCCTAAATAATAAAATATACATGTATTAGATTGTCTACAAACTTGTAATTATCGGCCGTCTCCATCATGAAACGACACACATCATTCACATATTCAACTAACTGGCATCATACGGCACACAACTTGCCACAAGGAAATGAATTTTACCTAAAATCGATTCTTTCACATATTCAATTTAGATATTGTTTCACATAAAAATTCCATTTTCTTACGTGTACAAAAGAACACTTTAAATGCAATAGTGAATTCGAAATGTCACACAAGGTAGCCCATGACCCAAAATACGACCGCATTCTTTAGCGTTCACGCCAGCAAGACAGATTTTTTAACCTAGTGGGTTTGGCCCCCGATTTGCAGCTCATGTGACGTGAGAATCGGTCATTAGTTCGCCGGTTTGTAACCTTAAATATTTTCTGGATGTATAAACTATTACAATGTGTGAAAATCATAAGCAAAACCTACCAGCTTGTCAAATATTTCCTTGTTCATTCATCGACATTTCGAGGAATGGCGGCGATTTTGCAGGCCATGTAGTATGCGATACCGTAGCGCCGTAGTAAACACTGTGTAGTCTGCATTCCCTAGTATACGCTCAACTCAGCTGATCTAGGTCGGGGCCTCAACACCGTTTTACGACGATGTCGCCAGCCGAGAGGTACTCTTGCAAAATGTACAGCTGCTCGGTTATTTGAGGTCATATTTTGACAAAATATTGCATTATTAGATACAAATATAGCAACTTCAATGAAATTAATTCGTTAACTCACCTTAATATTTTACTACGAACATCGCAATAAGTATTTCATCCATCGTTCAGCTTTTCTATGCTCGCATCTAAAAAAGGTGAATGAGCATATGGCCTTTACTAATATCAACGTTCATTGGTGAATGCAAAGCCATGTGACTGGCGTGTCGGGCGTGATACCATCTGATTGGTTCTTGCAGATTGATTATTAAATAAAGTTACATTTTTGTCACACAACCTCCCCGAGTGTCAAATTCTCCCCACCACATTTTCCTGATTGTACAGAAAAACTTACATATTATCAACCGCTTTATTGATGCAACGTAACAAACAATATGTGATGTTTCAATCCAAACACTTGAAAAATAAAATGCAATCTCTCGTTTGCAGAAATTCAGCTTTATTTCCTGTGAGGCCATGATCCATTTACAGGGAATAAGCCACCGCCCATATAACGTCATTTAGGCTGATTAACCAATCAAATTGAAAGAAAATGTGTCATCCTCTCGTCAAAGTCTGATCAGCGAACTCTGTTTTGCAGTTACTATACGAACAGGCGTATACATAATCGGGGCCGTAAAGTTGGATGACGGCAGCTCCATTGTGTATCAAATTGATGCGCAAACGATGTTCGCCGCTTTCCGACAGACCTCGGATACACCCGTCAGTATCTTGCCTAAGTTTCTAAATATAACTTTGTTTACCAAAATAGTTCTTATGCAAGAGCAACAAAATTAAATCTTGCTGATTCATGAAAATTTACGCGGAATGAAAACCAGAAGTTAGCTGTGCTTGTCTACGGCTTCAGCAAAAGGTTGACACTAGAAATTATAACATCATTATGATGATGAATTATGCAAATTTAGTATCTCCCTTCACGCAAACTACCTATTCAGATAAACAGTGACCTAAACTCTGATTTAGTCTGTCTAATTAAGATATTATGAATGAAATTGCATTGAAGTTTATATATATATATATCATTATAATTGGCTTAAATGTACAAGAACAATTAAGTATTGTGCATATCTCGATCCACGAATACTGTAATTAAGGTATTGAAGTTAAAATATTTGGATTTTGGGAAAATTAAATACAGATTTTTATTCACAATATAAATATAGATTTTCATAAAAAGATGTAAATTCCCTTAGGTTGTGAGCGAAATACTTGCGTTGGATCACGGACTTAGATATAGCATAATTATAGAAACACGTTTCTACTTCTACTTCTAAATGGTACAGACCAACTTCAACAATTTGAAGATAAAATGTCAGACGAGGAGTGAATCATGGAAAGAGATTGTTTTTAAAAGATACGAGATGGTCTAATTTGCGTTTGAAAAGTGACGGTAGAGGGCTGATTTGAATAATTCCGTTGTGGGCCTCTAAATAATGTCAGGTGGGAGTTTATTCCACTCGGGTATAGTTCGAGGGAAGAATGATGCCTATCTGGTCTGGGTTTTTGAGTGGGGAATTTGATACGAAAACTGGTGGTTTGTTCGCGATTTTCTAACGTGGTGAGGTATTTGAGTTATAACGTCACTTCATCATCAGATCTTGGGATCTATCAGTGGTGTACGTCATGGCTGCTAGATCACAATTTCTCTCACATTTGACTGATTGTCTAACATGTTTTAAAACTGTTCATGATTTCTCTGTCAATCCCTATAGGGTACAAATGATTGCACGCAGAAAGAAACAATACTATGTCGTCACAGGAACAATAAGATATGACGTCATAACCAACTCTTAACGGAAGAGGGAATGTGCAAATCGGGATAATAACAGATGACAAATGTTAAAAAGTGTTGTTTTTTAACATATATTGTACTTATTGGAATGATGTGAGAAAATAATTATCCCCTACCTTAAGTATTCCGTCTTTGCGTATTGCAGAGTTATCTTCTCTTGTGCGCAGGTATTGATTGTACGTCATTGGGTTGTGTGAGAAAAATACGTCGTTTTCTCAAAAATTGATGACTTTACTCTAAAAAACAAAGGACGAAACAATCAATCCCTGCTCAAAAGAGAAGATAACTCTGCAATACGCAAAGACGGAATAGGTAACAGGAAAAATGTCAACCCTCGAGATTATATTTTTTTCAAGTTTTCTCATCATGCTTACCACAGCAATTTATTGCATATCCCGGCTTCCTTATAATGCTACACTACTGTACAGGATATTTAATTGTCCGCAATGGACTTTTAATAAGTCTAGTTACTTATTTGTGGATAAAACAAATATTTTTCTTGGGAGACCGCATTCATGTCATTTAAAAAAGAATTAATCTGACAACAGACTTTTACCACTTAAAATCAAGCCTACATGATGTAACGATGTGTACCTCCGTGGGGCTCGCGGTTTACTATACTCTTCATTTGTTCATTAAAAATTAATAAAGGAAAACCTGTTTCCCCAGACTTATAGGACTCACGATTAACGAAGTGTAGACAATGTGAGAATTCATGTTTCCCCAGACTTATAGAACTTACGATTAACGAAGTGTAGACAATGTGAGAAAACCTGTTTCCCCAGACTTATAGGACTTACGATTAACGAAGTGTAGACAATGTGAGAATTCATGTTTCCCCAGACTTATAGGACTCACGATTAACGAAGTGTTGGACAATGTGAGAATTCGATGTCAGCGTCTCCTACCAACAACTGTCTATGATTAGAATCTGGTTTACAAAGGATTCTCCAATGTCTTTTAGACTTTAAACATATTTTATTGTCCAAATGGGTACAAGGGAGTTGACATAAGTTACTGCAACTTATGAAGTGCCGATGTGTCTTAAAACACAAGTTTATTGTTTTCCTCAGATACATTACAATATACAACATGAGGTATAGGAATATAATAATACACATGCAATGACAAAATGGATGGCAAGTACACCAAACCGTGTGCATGATACATTATCAATAGATGACACTTGTAATATATGTTTACAACAGTTTGTTAAACAAATCCAACAAAAGGCAAATTCCATTTAATACTGTCTTGTTACAAAATGACAAAGACCACTCATTCTGACTTGACAGGGATTTTTTCCATAATATAAAGGAATGTATGTTTCTCTGAGCTCTACAGTTATTACATTTTTACATTTGAATAAATAATAGAATTCGTCGCCTAGATCATTTTTACACAGAGTATACATTTTCGGTCTTGTTTTTTAATGTTGTGCCACCGTTCCAATGAACGTTTTTCCTGACGTTTTCTTGTTGATGATGTTGAACCTTCCTTATGGGTAAGCTTACCATTTACGATGATGTAAGTCATTACGATGATGTCTGTACTCACTCTAAACCAAAATATCTTTAAGCAAAAGTTGCTAAAGGCACATTTTTTTCTTTTAGAAAATAATGATTGGTTTAAGCAACTTTTATTAATTGGTTCAGACGTCCAAATTAGACGAGTTAACATAAAAAAGTCATAAAATTATTTGGCTTGTAGAATTATTTACACAAACACATACGTTTCACTTTAACTGGAGTAAATAATTGCCATTTCCAATATAAAATAGTATTTAATTATTGATGGGGAACAGGTGGGAATGAGTTGAGACTGGTCTACTTTTAAAAATCGCCTATGTCAATATATTATGATGTTTTAATTCATGTGACAATAGGAGCTCCGGCGGACGGTGCCCCACTTAATATGTATATCCTATATTCGTCCGGACGTTATAAGCAGTTTTTAGCCGCGTCAAAAGTTGAGGTAAATCTAAAATATATTCAATTATAAACTATATAAAAGTAGTGATAAATAAGATCAGATTTACATGAATGTATATTGCACTTTATTGGCTGGACAGACAAGAGAATGTAGGAAGAAAAGAAGATTTTAAAGAAAAGTAAAAGAAAACAAAAGATAGAAACAAAGTGGAAGAAAAAGGTTGGGAGGTAGACAAGACATAATATTGTCAGCCTTGATATATAAATAACAATAACACTGGTACTAATAATAGTAATTTACAAGTATAAAACAACAAGAGTATACTCTATATTATAAATCAATTAACTTTTTTCCATTTACGCCATTCTATATCAATTTTTTCCTTGGCAGAGTCACCCTTACCAGTTGCAATATATTTTTGAACTCTATAATTGTCTTTAATTATGTTAATTAATTAATTTATATGTAAAGAATTGTGCAAACACCTCATTCTGTCTATGTACTACTTGATAATAATGATAATTTCATTATCAACCCTGTTGATTTAAACATATTTTATTGCAAATAAATATTTACAAAAGAATTGGACACAATTTTTACCAACTTATCAAAGTCCTTTTCTTCAAATACATGAGTATAAACAATAACTTGATAAGGTAATTTACGCAATATACATTAATTATGTTTTTATATGGAAATGGAAAATAGAGCCGAAGAAAAGAAGGAGAGCGAAACGAAGTAGAGGATAGTAACACAGATAGAGTAGATGAAAAATAGAGTGGAAGAAAAGACGGATAGAGTAATGAAGTAAATGATAGTAACACAGGTAGAGTCGGAGAAAAAAAAAGAGTGATAGAGAGAGAAAGATGATCACATTCAGTCAAACCTGTTACATTTGCTGATATAATTTTGGACAGATTTTGCAATTGAGGTATTTACATTAATGCTGAACTTAGGATCGCCATATAGGAGCAAGTCTAAAGTTAAATCATCACGAACAGGTTGAAGCTCTCTTATTAATAGATTACGATGCTGGGTGTATAAGGGACAGACACAAAGGAAGTGATAAGAGTCTTCACATGGATTACCGCATGCACATTCAGCTGTATTTGATAAATTTGCTCTAAATAGGTCATAGGTAAGGGAGCTCGCACGATTTCTCAAACGGCAATGAAGTATATTTGATTTACGGGAACCCCATACCAGAAAGCATTTATTTTGTGGTTTACCTTTTGATTTTATATTTGATTTAAATGAACTGAGAGAAGCCGAATTCCTTATAGATATATCTAGGTCATTCCACATTTTTGTAGTTGATGGGAAAAAAGAATTGCGCATTGTTTCAAGCCTAAAGTTTGGTTGTCTTAAATGTTGGGAATTTCTTAGGTTATAACGAGAAATATCCCCAAAGCTATCTGGTAAGGTGTCACACAAATAATCAACCCTGTTGACAGGAGGAGGATTAAAAGAAAGCAATCCAAAGAGAAAAGATTTTTTGTTTACTGAAAAAGGAATAAGTTATGCCTGTAATAGCATTTCAAAACTTTGTAGTAAATTCTGTACTTCATTACATTCCCACAAAATATGAGTGATAGTTTCTCTTTCAGAATTACATAAAATACAAAGAGGGGAGGTAACCAGGCCAATTTTACAAAGGAAATAATTTGTTGTCAGGATGTGATGAACCACTCGGAACTGACACCACTGAAACTTTGTATTTTTTGTAGCTTGGAAAAGAATTTTGAAATGTTTGCCCACTTTGTATCAATAATATCATCAAAGATTTGGTTCCATTTCATTTTACCAGTTGGTATTGCATTATTCCTAATCAAATCATTATAAAACATTTTCGAACCTCTGGCATACTTGAAAAAAGGTTGTATGATTACTGGTATAAAGGGGCAAACTATGTTGGATTTAGTTAGATCATAAGCTGAGATAAACCCCTTTATTGAAGATGTGAGGCTGTGGTACTGCAGAAAATTTGTCACAATCTGATATTTAAGTGAAAACGCATTTATGGTATAAAAAGAACCCGCAGAAGCATCTTTTAAAACATCATATATGTTAACCACGCCTTTCTTGTACCAATCCCTGTACAAAATAGTTTCCCCTCAATACATATGTTTTTGTTATACCAAAGTGGTATTTTCAAGAGCAACTCATCCTTTCCTAAGTTGTCCTTTTGCAAACTGTATTTATACTATGATCTATAAACATCTCTCCAAAATTGTTTTTTTTCCAATATGGTATAATAATGTAATTAAAATAGATATTCAGAGTATTTTTTATCGGGATTGGTACAATAAAGGAATTATTATTATTAGCGATTTAATCAATAAAGACACTAATTCGTTTTACTCTTTTCAGGAGTTTCAACAGTTCTTTGGTATAAATACAAACTTTCTTAATTACCAAGGACTTATTTCAGCTATTCGAAAACATATACAGAAACAAGATTTACCATGTCCTATCTATCCTTTCATACCAATTAATCTAGAAATACTTTTCCGCAGTAAAAAAGGGACACAAGATTTTTATTATTTA